TGTCTTTTGTTGTTACTTGCACAGTGTTATGTAGAATTTATGTTTTTATCTTAAATAAAATAAAAAAAACAATAAAAACAAGAAAAAGAAATGAACAGATTTTTTAAGTTTTCCATTATCAAAAACAAAATAAAACACAAAACAAAAAAAAAGGACAATAAAACAGAATAAAATGCAAAATAGAAGTCCTTTTAAGCGCTCATGTATTTAAATAAACGCAAATAAAAGGACATTAAATATGCATTTGTAACTAAAAAAGAAAAAAAGAAAACGAAAAAGGACCTTAAGGAATTAACACCATTCCATTTTGCAAAAAAGAAAAATTTCTTTAAAAAATAAAATTTAAAAAAAAAAATGGAAACTGTTGAAAGATTTATTTTTGTACACTTTATAAAGTTTTGTGTCATTCTCATTCTTATGTTGTCTTTTTACACTTCCATATTAGAATAAAGAAAATTTATACAACACTACTTTGAATGGTAGATGCACCATAGAATATAAACCCTATAACTATAAAATATACATACAGCTACGTATGTAAATAAGTTTTTTTTAAACTAGCGCAAATACTAATTGACTTACGAAATCTGACATTATGGTATAGCATGGTTTCGTTTGTAACACGTATTCTCCTAAATTCTTGAATTTTTTCTATTTTACTCTGAAACTGAGACCTTATTTTCTATATCACTATTTTTTTTGTACATTTATTAATCATTGTTCACATTATGTGCCTTATGTTAAACGGTAAAATTTATAAAATAAGTAAGAAAATTGAGTGAATTAAGTGAATTCTACAACATTTGAAAAATTATAAAGCGGAGAATGATTTCATTCGCCAACGCCTTATCCCTGATTTTTTTACTTAAGACATCAAAACATTAAATTATCATAACCTTAAAATAGTTTGTTTAATCAAAATTATTGTATAGGAAATTGATATTCACCAAAAATTTTAAATGGCGATTTAAGATAAGAATTTGTAATTCGCACTTTTTTAAATTAATGCGCCGTTTTCCAATTAGAATTTTCATCTTCTCTCAATATATCATTCGTAAATTTTGAAATATTCATTAAAATGCAAGATCCTTTCAAAAATTCTCATATTTGTGAAAAAAATATGAGAAATTTTGGAATGTTTTCGATGGGGACATTTCGGCCCAATGGATGTAATTCGATCTTATGGATATATTTCGGTCCTATGAATATAATTCGGTCATATGGATATAAAATCGGTCCTATGGGTATAATTCTGTCCTTTAGATTTATTGTGGTCCTTTAGATTTATTGTGGTCCTTTGGATTTATTGTGGTCCTATTCGGTATTTTGAATATAATTCGATGCTGTGAATATATTTCAGTCCCATATGGATATATTTTGGTATTTCAAGCCTTTTTCTAGAAACTATTCATTTGAAGCTTCTATCTTTTTCGGAAGGGAAATTATAAGGAAAAACGATTAGTCAAGTAGAAATTTCAACAAAATTCTTTATAAACCTCGTATTTAAGAAACCGTTGAGATTTGACAAAACAAAAATTCCAAAGAAAAGTATGTAACCCATTTTTGATCACCCTGTATATTAATGATATAAGACCTTGTATAACTAAGAAATGTCTAAACTCCAAGCAATATTTTAATCAAGAGGTCTACTGGTATTTCTTAATCAAAAAAAATTTAAGCTTAGCGATCATGAAAATATGAGTTCGTATTTGAACTAACGAATTAAGCATTTTATTGGCGAGGAGCATTTGGAGTTTACCAGTATATAAGCGCAATACCAGTAAATAAGCGCAAATAATGTATAATTTTGTTTTTTGTCTGAAGATGTCATTTTGTTCTTATTAGTTATCGAAAACATAAGGTGCCGTATTTCGAACATTAAAAGCTACATAATGCTTTATTTGTATTTGAAAAATTTTTTATATTAAACTATTAAAATTCCTATGGTTAACAGAAATAACTAATTTGTCAATATATAAATATTGCACATATTTTATCTATTCAAATATGTGCAAGAGAAAAAAAGATTTAATGTAAAATGTCTACAGGATAAATACAATGCGGCAAAGGAAAAAAAAACTAAAAGCTTTATTTTTTAAGAATTAAAACAAAACATACAAATTTCTTATGAATACAAAAAAAAGTTCTCACATAAAAATCGGACTATAATATTTATAAGTCAAGAAAAAAGCAAAAACAACACCAACAACATACACTTTTATATTTAAACATTTAAAACAAAAAGTACTTATAAGTTATATAATTGCATATACATATTTATACATACTACATAAAAAAGAATTCTATTCTTTATAACTTCTTATCTTTTAATCGGGAACTTGCAATTCACCCTCAATAAAAATAACATCTGTTTCATTTCTTATTAAGAAACATCCTTCCGGGAGTTATTCCCTATAGAGTTTTGCATAGATCTCAAAAACTTATGACTGTATAAAAATTTAAAAAAAAAATTTTTATAAAGCAAATTATTACACGAATACAAACACGTATGTATGTATATTAAAAATTATGCCAGTCAGGGTGCTTTAAATTCAAGTAGCAACGACTTACAAAATAACCTACTACAAGTCAACCGTATTGTATATAAAATTTCCAGATCTAAGCTCTATATCGTCAGATATCAATGAAAAAAACTTTTATCTGCGTTAAAGGTATTGTAAATAATAGAAGAATAGCACCTGAAGATAATATTAAACACATACATTAACTAATTAGTAAATATTCACGAAACGTTACTAATAAATGCATATTTTTTAATAATGTTATTTATTTAAATTAATATTAAATTTTTTAAACTCATTAATTTTTAAAAGAGTCCAAGTTCTTTTGATTATTCCATATCACAGCACGATTTACACCCTCGCTTTCTTTAAAATCTTTCTTCTTGACTCTCAAACACCCTGCATAATATGTTTAAAGTTTTTTCAAAGCTGTTAAATGCTGTAACATAAATAAGTAATTTTCTATAATAACAACAAATAAAAGAAGAGGTCAGGGTAAATCTTTGTTCCACTTTTAGTATGTTAGTTTAATCCTGCTGTAAATGTAAATTTGAAACAAAATAAAAGTTACTAAAACTTGTTTTTATCCAAAAAGAAAAAAAATTAATGAATTTATGCATAAAAAGAATCCGTCGTTTTTTAACTATGAATACAAAATTTAAAAAGATAATTGGTCTAATTTTAGACTACATACATAGTATCAAATATAAATTTGTGTATTAAATCTTTTGATTGTGTATAAGAAGTGTTATGTATGCAAAATATTTTAGGAACCTTTTCGCTTATGTACCTTTCAAATATTAGGCATTATGTAAATAATTTTTAAAAATGGTTCTTCTTAACCTTTTATGAGAATCTGTAAAATTTATTCACACATTTGAAATTATGTGTAAGTAATGAGCAATTTCGAGTTATGTGTAAAATATTTGTTTTATAAAAAAAAATGATGAATAATTCTATCTTGAAATCGTTTAATAACATTATAGCCATTACTCATGTTAATTGCAGTAAAAAAACCAGTAAAGAAAAATTTATTTTTAAATTTTTATCCTATATACACTCTTTAAAGAGCCTAGAACCGCCCAGTTGTCTTATAGATATTTAGAATTGATGATATTAAATTGGAACGTTCTTGTCCATAAATCTGGTGAAGCAACTTTTAAATCATTATAGTTAAAATTAAAAGCAACCCTATTATAATTTATTTAGTAGGCCTAGGTTATGTCATAAGAGTTCGATAAAAATTCGATTTAAGAATCACTTCATTTGTGCTAATGTACTGATCTGATTACATCATTACAACCAATGAATTTAATTAACATTAATATTTTTGTAGTCCATTAAAAGCATAAAAATAAAATTTCGATATACACACATACATATGTATGTATGTATTTCAAGCAGTACTTATTGCTAAAACAGAGTTTTAAATATGTAATGTAAAATGTGAATTGTAATATGTACAAATAAGTGCTTTCCATTATTATACATTTTGGATATCCAAATTTTTTTGACTTAGAACAAAAATTTTGTCTTAAATGTCAATGTTTTTTGTTCTAAATAGCCATATACTCTATAAATCTATACCATTTAAATTTTTATTCCTCAAATTAACATGTGTACATACATATGTATATACAAAAATTGGATTTTAACCTAAAGATTTTATTGTTAGCTGCCCGTCTGAAAAGATTAACTTATAATTCGAAATTGCAGCAAACAGAATCGCAAAAATTCTGTATAGATATAGTTAACACATAATTGTAAGATCTATAGAAATGCATATATTATGTAGATCATTTTTGATGAAAAGTTAATAATAAAAAATTTCTAAAATTCAAAAAAATTACCTGCATATGCAGCATTTTAACAAAAATATTATTTATGTTCTTATTCAACAAACTAAAGTTTACAAAATAAATATAAGTTATGACTATAAACAAACTGATTCAATAAAATAATATTTCAATTTTTGGAATATAAAAATACAAAATTTAACTTAATTATTTTTTTTATTTTAACCGCGATTTAAAGGAATGTAAATTAAATTTTGAGCCATCTATTGGTAAAAATATGTGTATAATAAGTTCCACAAATATCAGTCCACAATTTTATTAATATTAATTTTTAAAATGTTATTTATTGGGATTTTTCTTAAAAAGTTTTCGAAGATAAATTATATATTAATGGTATTCAGTTATTATTATTACTCGTATATTGAACATTGGTTTTTAAACGAAATTACTGTGTACTGATTTAAGTCAAAATTTATTTCTATTTAAATTCATTTTCTTTTATTAATTAATTAACGCTGAAGGGTGGAAATTTATTAATTTCGAAAAATTCTTATATTATTGAAGGTTGGCAATTCTTTCCAAGGGACAGCTGACATTTTAATATCAGCTGTTCCACAAACTGTGACAATAAATTGTTCCACAAACTGACAGCTGAAAAAAAATTTCTGGGAATTGTCAAAATTCTCTAATAATATTTATTTTGCTTTATTTCAATTAAAACTAAATAATTGTGCTTTTAAACTTTGCTTTATATTTTATCTAAAAAATATTATTAAACAGTGTCTTTACTGATTCGACGACCAACAGTTTTCAATGATAGAATATATATGAAGTATCAAAAAGAAAGCTACTTTTGATGGCTGCATCATCTGCTAAAAATCCGAAACCAAATTTTAAAGAAATCGACTTTCAAGATATAGAGGACCGTGAAGTAAGTCTCAAAATCAAGTTTAAATGGAATATTATTATTATAAGCTTACTAAATCAATATGAGAATTTTAAAAGACTAATTAAATTGTAATTTGTTATGTAAACAACAATTGAGGTTATGATAAAAATAAATAAATATATGTATACATATATTAAATATGTACTTGAAAATTCTTCTAAAAAACTGCGTAAATAACAGATATTTAATGTCTATTTTAGCTAGTAGGAAGAGGATCTTTTGGAACAGTTTATAAAGCTAAGTGGAAAGACAAATATGTTGCAGTTAAAGAATTCGATGTTTTGGCTGATAAGAAAGCGATCGAAACGGAGGTATAGTTCTTAGCTTAATTTTCTTTAATATAGTTATAAATACATGTATCATCTCTATTTTGACTATCTTAGATAAAACAACTCTCTAGAGTAGAACATCCAAACATAATAACTCTCTATGGTGTTTCAGTTACGAAAACTGCTATTAATTTAATAATGGAATATGCTGAAGGTGGCTCACTTTATAACCTACTGCATGGACCACATCAACCAAAGTATACAGCAGCTCATGCAATGAGTTGGGCTCGCCAATGTGCAGAGGTTTGTAACGGGAAAACATACTTTCCAAATTTAAATTAATATCTGTGTAGTTTTGAAGGCATAAGAAGATAACTGCAAAAAATTTAAACCCGTGATTAAACAATACAATACTTAAATTACTTTATTTTTAAAGGGCGTCGCTTATATGCATGGGATGAAACCAAAGCCGTTGATTCATCGTGACTTAAAACCTCCAAACCTATTGCTTTTTAATTATGGCAGATGTCTTAAAATATGTGACTTTGGAACTGTAGCTGATAAGTCAACTCAAATGACTAACAGCAAAGGAAGTGCCGCATGGATGGCTCCAGAAGTTTTTGCTACATCAAGTTATACTGAAAAGTGTGACGTATTTAGTTGGGGCATAATTTTATGGGAAGTTTTAACTAGAGAAGTGCCATTTGCTAAAATGCAGAATGCTCATACATTATCGATAATGTGGCGTATACATAAGGGTATTAATTATTATCTATTTACTTAATATCTATTTCATATTTTTAATTTAAGTTTCAAAACAGCTAATACATTTGATCTAACTCTTATAATTAAAATAAATAACAAGCATAATAAATATATACATTTTATAATAAATAAAATATTTACAAATTTCATAAATAAAATATTTACTAAATTTTTTATAAAAAAGAGGAAAAAAAATTTAAAACTCTATTTTCAAATGCAATATATTTGAGAAAAAAAGCAGAATGGAAGTTTGTGTATTGACAAAATATTATATATTTTAGGTGATCGACCAGATTTAAATCGATTTATTGGCTGCCCCCAACCAATTGAAGCATTAATGAAACAATGTTGGGATCCTGAACCATACAAGCGTCCCGCAATGAAACAGGTTGTTGAGTTAATGAGGTCCCTTTGTAGTCATTTACCTGGTGATGATGAACCAGTTGATTGCAATTCCGATACAGCTAGTAACAATGAAAGCGCCTACACTTTAGAAACAAACGATGATAATATCAGCACTATAAGTAATAATGAACCATTTTATGAAAATTTACCAAATCCATTATATGATGATAGTGTTAATAATACTAATAGTGATTCTCTAAATTCAAACGAAAATAACAGTAACGAATATCCCAGTAGTATTTTTATTGATTTAATTGGTTTACAAATAGAATCACCAAATTGGTTAGCTACAAATAGAATTAAATGTGATAATAAAAAGTCAGATGATAAAGCGTCTAGTACTACCTCAGAAGAACAAAACCAAAGTTCATTAAATAATTCTGTAAAATATGTTTCAAATAAGCCACAAACTCAACCACTACAAATTCAACAAGAAATTGAACCATCTCAACCAGACATAAATTATTTACCGACTAATATGACTGATAGAGAAATTAAAGCTAGGAATGAATCAATTAGAAATAAAATATTAAAATCGAAAACAAAACCTTTAAATTCATTATCTGTAGAAGTGGATCCAGTAAGTAATTTCATATTTTGATTTGCCGTAGTTGTAATTTCTTATTTTTTTCCATTTTTCAATTTTAGAATGCATGGGATTTAAGTAAAGAAAATATGTCACATTTTTATTCAGACTTATGTAAGTACAATATTTTCTCTTAAATATTTTTGTTCAGATATGTAAATATGTATGTATTTTTTATTAAATGTTATGAAATACATAATATAATGAATTTATAAATGGTTTAGTAAATAAGAAACGTCATTGTTAAAATTAATTTAAAATTTTCAGTAAGCTTCGATACAAGAAAGATTTTCCTCATTTCAAAAATTTAGGATATTAAAATAATATGATAACTAATAGGCATATTGTTGATTTAGTCCTTGCTAACATTTTTGTAAAAATATATTTCAGAAATTTAAAGCATAAAAATTATTTTTTAAGTTAAATTATATAAATTTCGAATGCTCACTTTATTTTCAAAGATTATGAAATTATCTTAATTAGCTAGAAATAACAACCCTTTACAACTTAGTAAAAAATTTAAAAACAATTTAAATTTACATGAAGCTTTCTAAATAATTTTCTTGCCTTATAACAATATCGTTGGATGCTTGAATATAATTTAATTTTAATCATAAAACTAAAAATGTTTTATAATTTATTTTAATTATATAATTATAAATATACATACAATATACATTCATAATATATTCTATATACACGTATAGGAAGCGCAGACTGCTTGTCCCTCTTTAAAAAAAAATTAATAAATGGATTACGTACACGAATGCCCCTACATAAAATTAGGCAAAATTTTTCTTTTCATTTGTGATTTTCCATCCATTATTTCATCTTGTTTCTAAAAATAAGAAATATATTTTGTCACAGAAACTATTTAATTTATTAGTTTCTTTAGTTATGTACAGTGCTTTCCATTTTTAAATAACTATACTTGAATGATATTTATAATTTCAAATAATAATGGTTTTAAATGCTTATTAGATTTTTAACTGAGATTACAGATATTTAAAATGATTAGTAGTTGTTTGAGAAGAGCTAAACGTGATTGTACCTAAACATACCATTTTTTTTCCAATAGTAATCATAAAATAATATTAGATAAATTTTTTTCGACTAACACATTATAAATATATGTACATTAATAATACGCATAAAAACATAATTTTTTTTCGAACAATTTTCAATAACAAACAAGCAAATTTAATATGAAAATTAAATTAAAAATTCAGTACTAGATAGCTCGCTAAGTTGTTAAAACTAATTTTAAGTGGTGATTCACTTAGTCGTATTGCATAATGAGGTCAAGTATGCGTTGAAGTATTTCTGTAAATATTCTATAAAAATTTTCGAGACTTGAAGCAGTTCGTTTTCAGTTATTTTTTTTTTCTCAGGACATAAGATATCACTTTCGCAATTCAACTTCAATAAACAAAAATTTTCCTTTTAATTTTAGAAACTTTGTAAATATATGACTTAATTACTTTTCTTCGTCATTAATAAATTTTATAAAAGGTGAATTTTGTGTTTGACTGTGTCTACTTATTTATATACGTACATAATAATAAAAGAAAATTTGATTGCATCAATTCTTAATAAAGTATAATTTATTTTTAGTTAATTTAAAATGGGGTCATTAGTATAAATGAAGAAATAATTTTAAAATGTTTCCATGTAGGTATTGTGATTTTAATTTTTTTTCATAAATATATTAAAATTTTTTCAAATCACATGTAATATTTGGTTTAAAAAACCTTCTTCGAAATATCTTAAAGACCAATCATTAATTTAATTGCAACTATTAAATTACTATTGCTATACTATTTTTAAATCTCTAATAATAGCAATTACACATTAATTCATGAAATAATTTTAAACGATTCTTCTTAGTTTTTTTGTACATTATTTCTTTAATTTAATTTTTTTTAAAATTGTTACATTGTTGGGCCTAAAACTTTTATCCATAAAAATATCGAATAAAAAAAATTTGCTTATAATTATGTAAGATAAGAAAATTCATAATTTTAAATAAGGTAATGACGAAGCTAATTGTCCTTATAAAATTTTATATAAAATTTTTATATAGTTGAGGAAGGTTTATAGTAAATACACTGAAGCGGTTTAAATTTTCACAAGCCATGGTCGTAATTCAATAATTTATGAATACATATGCTTGTATTCATAATCATATGTATGTACATATATGAAAATTTTACTTAAAAATTAAAAAATACGGTTTCGACCAACAGTAACCCGAATAGAATTCTTTTTCATTTTACAAAATTTTTGATTATATCATATGCAAAAGTAGAGGACATCATTTTAGTCACCAAATAATTTTGTATTTCAAATCTAATTTGGTCCAAATAAATTTTTTGAATTTTTTTCATTTTGTATGTTTCATTACAAATTAGAAAAACATTGTTGAAGTATTTAATTTTATTTTATATTTTTTTTATTTATTTATTTATTTTTATTTCGTTTAGATGCGTTTTTCTTTTTTATGCAAGCGGAAAATCAAGCAAAGCAATTCAAACGCTTTCCGAAACATTTTAAATTCATAATCTAAAATAATTTATTAACTTTTCTAGTGTATTAAGGGCTTATAGACAATTAAGAAATGAACTTACATTATTTTTGAATTGAAGTATTATTACGTAAAAGTATTTGTGGGCGATGAATGAGTTCTAGTTAGGTGATTTTATATTTTGTTGGACAAGTCTCAATTTCAAAGCCAACTTAAAAACGTATCGTAAATAAATTTTTAAAAAAAATATTTTTATTGATGGTTGGAAGGGAGAATGTTTAGTGCCCATCTCAAACATAACTTTCGGATATGTAGATTGTAATAGAGTTTTCCGAATGAAATCTTAGTATTTTTTGCTTAGTATGTTTTAAAAAATATTTACAAAACTGTTGTAATTCGTATTTTTAAATAATGTGAAATAAATCAACTTTGTCTTCTTTCATATCGTTACAGCCCAGTGTGAGCCTTAGACTAATTTATAATACGCCTCCATTGATCCTAATCTGTTGCCGCTTGAAGCCAAGTGTATTGCATTTTTGGCATCGATAACGTCATCTTTCCATCTTAATCGCGGTCTTCCAATATATCCTTTGGTCAAGTGGATTAGCGTTATATATTCTTTTCGGCGTCCTATATGTTTCCATACGTGTTAAATGCTTTATCCATCTCAATCTTTGTACTTTAATGTATCTCATAATATTCTTATTTTTCATAATACTCATTAATTCTTGATTTGCTCTTGTTTCGCATTTGTTATTTCCATTTATTCTCGGCCCAATAATCTTGCGCAAAATCTTTATTTCTGAAAAATACTTAGGCCATTCTTATCTCCCAGCAATATAACTTAATATTGGACGTAATATGGTTTTGTACAGCTGCAGTTTACAAGTACATCAACTGGTTTAGGTAAAAATTAGTATAAATTTAATATTAATAGCTCTACGAGTTTAAATCTGCTAAAAATTATAATAATGTGGTTATATACATGCACATCTTCTTGTGTTTACCTGTACTACAAGTGATTTATTTATGCATATTAATTAACGGAGATGATTTTTTATTCGTGAATAGGTTAGTCAATTTTCCTTCATTAATTCTAACGTAATATTAATGTACGTTCTAAATTTTTTTGTCTCTTAAATACTTGATTTCTTCGTTTTTTTTTGTATCTGTAGCCAAATAAAATTTTAGAATGTTGTTGTATAACCAACATTTTGTGCAAATGAAAATTTTCAAAATTTTTCCACTTTTATTTTTTGTTTTCTATTTTTATAAAAGTTTGTTTTCTTTTCTCTTTTCGTATTAGAAATTTAAATCATTTTAAGAATTTAGACACTTTTTGACTTTAGAATTGTTCTATAATGTATTTATTGGTTAATCAAATGAATGATTCATAAAGAAGTATAAACAAAAAGGAAAAATAAATTATTATTTTTTTATTTTATTTACTTGGCCCTCTAAAATTTATTTTCTAATTTTTTATACTTACATAGTTTTAATAGATTCTAAAAATTTAAAATTAACTAAACTGTAGCGTGTGCTGACTTTTAAGTACTCTTTATATAACATTTTACGATAAATACTGTATCAAATATTTTAAACATTTTATGTGAGCAAAGTAAGGAAACTAAACAAGACTGAAGAGTAGAAGTATTTTATTCAGAATTTAAAGCCTTTTCTATTTAAAAATTTAAAAATTCTTACGGCAAACCTGGTGGTATTTAAAAGAATATCACATTTTAATTTTCTTGAAAAAAAACTCTGAAAATCTCTGAAAATCGAATCCAGAGAGTCCGATTGTTATTGAAGAAAGCAAAGTTAAAATGCAGTTTTGCCTTTCGGAAATTTACTTTTCGATTTTGAGCAATTTTCAAATCACTTTAATTATCTAAGTACAAATATTAAAATTATTTTAAATTTTTTAATATTTTTAAATTTTTACTAATATATAAATTAAGCTATTTTTGAGTACATCCTTTATATCGTTATCATAATCGCAACCATCATAGCTATTTTAAGCTTAAATTCTGCAACAATAGTTGATTTCGATTTCATTGGGATTTATGATGTAGTTAACTAATATCAATGCAAACTAATATCAGTTACGAAAAATGCAAAATTTTTGGATTACAGTCTTTCGCAACAGTCGATTCAACGATGTAATGTAAGAATACTTCTCGTTTTTGTTTAAATTCTTATCAAAAATCATGTTTTTTATTACGATAAACCGAATGACGATGAAATTGATTTTATTATTATTTAAATTTAATCAAGTTTACGAATTAGCAAAAATGTCATTTCTTAACCAAAAATTAAATAAGTTAAAATGTGTATATGTTCAGAAATCCAAGTAAAAATTTAAGGCTTGCAACTTTTTAAGAATTTTATTAATTGTCTAAATGTAGATCGCATTACATCCTTTACTCCCAATTAGAGTGATTCATTTTGCTATAATAAAAAATCTTATAACAAATTTTATCGATTAGCGGAAATAAATTAATGTTAGTATTAATTTTTTTAAAACATAAAATTTTTTATAATTGCCTAGCTTACGCGTTTCCTTATGTTACACATTATGTAAATAAATTTT